TGGCTCTGGGGACTCTTAAATGTTGAGCCAGGGTGTGTAGTTTCTATGTTTAGTTTTCTATGTTTGAGTTTCTAGATCGTGTAGATCTATGTTGGCCAGGATGGTTCCCAATCATAGGCAGCTGTAGCTCGTTGTCTCTGATTGGGGACCATACTTAGGCAGCCGTTTGGCACTAGTCTGTGTGGGATCTTGTTCCGTATAGGTATGTTATTAGTCTACCTTGGACTTCACGTATCGTTTGTTTTCTTGTTTTGTTCGTGTTCAGTACGTTAATAAATATGTACGCTTATCACGCTGCGCCTTGGTCCGTCTCATCCGTAAACGATCGTCTCAGGTGGGCAAATGGTGGTCATGGGAGGAGATATTCGCGGGGAAAGGGCCATGGGCAAAGGTAAATGCCCAGGCAGGAGAGGAGAAACGGCGGCAACCGTGCCGACGACGGACACCCGAGAGGCAACCCCAAGAAAAATGTTTGAGGGGGCACACGGCGTGGACGACGAGGCAGCAGGAGGCAGCGACAGGGCGAATCTGCAGATTAGGAGAGGAGGCCACCAGGTTACGGGGGCTATTGGTCCAGAGGGAGCAGGAGTTATTGGGTCAGAGGGAGGAGCTACAGGAGGCGATAAGGGAGAAGGAGAGTGTAGAGGCACGGCGAGAGGAGCTGGTTAGGCAGCAGAAGGAGCGGAGGTTTATAAGGGAACCCAGTCCCGCTCCTCGCACCAAGCAAGTGGTGTGTGTCGCCAGTCCGGTCCGGCCCGTTCCTGATCCCCGCACTAAGCCAGTGGTGCGTGTTCCCAGTACGGCCAGACGCATTCCTGCTTCCCGCACAAGGCCAGTGGTGTGTGTTCCCAGTACGGTCCGGCCCGTTCCTGCTTCCCGCACTAAGCTAGTGGTGCGTGTTCCCAGTACGGCCCGACCCATTCCTGCTTCCCGCACAAGGCCAGTGGTGTGTGTTCCCAGTACGGTCCGGCCCGTTCCTGCTCCCCGCACTAAGCTAGTGGTGCGTGTTCCCAGTACGGCCCGACCCGTTCCTGCCCCTCGCACTAAGCCAGTGGTGTGTGTCCACAGTCCGGTACGGCCCGTTCCTGCTCCCAGCACCAAGCCAGTGGTGCGTGTTCCCAGTCCTGCCCGGCCTGTTCCTGTCCCTTGCACCAAGCCAGTGGTGCGCATCGCCAGCCCGGTCCGGCCTGTTCCTGTCCCTCGCGCCAAGCCAGTGGTGCGCGTCGCCAGCCCGGTCCGGCCTGTTCCTGCCCCTCGCACCAAGCCAGTGGTGCGCGTCGCCAGCTCGGTCCGGCCTGTTCCTGCCCCTCGCACCAAGCCAGTGGGTGCGCGTCGTCAGCCCGGTCCGGCCCGTTCCTGCTCCCCCCCCCCACAGCCGGTCCGGCCCGTTCCTGTCCCTTGCACCAAGCCAGTGGTGCGCATCGCCAGCCCGGTCCGGCCTGTTCCTGTCCCTTGCGCCAAGCCAGTGGTGCGCGTCGCCAGCCCGGTCCGGCCTGTTCCTGCCCCTCGCACCAAGCCAGTGGTGCGCGTCGTCAGCCCGGTCCGGCCCGTTCCTGCTCACCGCACCAAGCCAGTGGTGCGCGTCATCAGCCCGGTCCGGCCCGTTCCTGCTCCCCGCACCAAGCCAGTGGTGCGCGTCGTCAGCCCGGTCCGGCCCGTTCCTGCTCCCCGCACCAAGCCAGTGGTGCGTGTGTCCAGTCCGGCATGGCCCGTGCCTGTTCCACCGGTGCCTGGTCCGGCACCGGTCAGCTGCTCCACTCCGGAGCCAGAGCAATCCGCTCCACCGGGGTCCGGTCCAACTCCAGTCAGCGGATCCACTCCGGAGCCAGAGCAATCCGCTCCACCGGTGCCCAGTCCAGCTCCGGCCAGCGGCTCCAGTCCGGAGCCTGTACAGTTCGATCCACCGTCGTCGGGTCCAGCTCCAGTCAGCGGTGCCAGACCAGACCAGGGGCGCAACAGGAAGGTGGAGAGAAAGTGGTGGTTACACCCGGAGCCGGATCCGCAGTTTGACTGGGCAACCAGCTCTAGGAAGAGTCTTGGTGGTTCCAAACTTCTTCCATTTAAGAATGATGGAGGCCACTGTGTTCTTTGGGACCTTCAATGCTGCAGACATTTTTTGGTACCCTTCCCCAGATCTGTGCCTCAACACAATCCTGTCTCGGAGCTATATGGACAATTCCTTCGAACTCATGGCTTGGTTTTTGCTCTGACATGCACTGTCAACTGTGGGACCTTATATAGACAGGTGTGTGCCTTTCCAAATCATGTCCAATTAATTGAATTTACCACAGGTGGACTCCAATCGAGTTGTAGAAACAGCTCAAGGATGATCAATGGAAACAGGATGCAGCTGGGCTCAATTTCAAGTATCATAGCAAAGGGTCTGAATACTTATGTAAATAAGGTATTTCTGTTTTTTATTTTTAATAAATTAGCAAAAATGTCTAAATGTTTTGTTTCTAAATGCTTTGTTATTATGGGGGTATTGTGTGTAGATTGATGAGGAAAACGTTATTTAATCCATTTTAGAATAAGGCTGTAACATAACAAAATGTGGAAAAAGTGAACCCTAATTGCTCCTGTAAGTCGCTCTGGATAAGAGCGTCTGCTAAATGACTGAAATTAAATGAAATGAAATGAAGGGGTCTGAACACTTTCCGAATGCACTGTATGCTAGCTAGTAGCTACATATTGAACTATGCTGCTGTCGCCAACATTTGATTTAATCTATTGCCATATTTAAGGATTATACACGATGGAGACAAGTTCAGAACTAGAGGTGGACCAGCCTTACTCCATCTTACTGTTACTGGCTGGTTGACTGGGCTGAGATCAAGCCAGAATGGGACACTCAGTAGCCCATCTAGCATGGCATAGTCAAAAGGACCGCCGACACAGCCAAGCTAGCCAACTGTGTTGATTTCCCAGAATTTGCCAGCAATCGCCTGCTGCGATGTCTAGATAGTATTTCACAGTGCCTTCTGTATGGCTTGCACAGCGCTGTTTACCACAAATATGTCCACATTTAGTCATTAGTATTGTGCCTGGATCGCCATGGCAGAGGACTAAGATGCAGGGAGGGAGAGTGATCCTCAATGGGAATTCAAAGATTAAGTCCACAGAGAATATTTCATAGGATCATAATTGATTTGCCCTGACTGTCTACTGAATGTAGTAGTTTGGTATCGTAATACTCTGCGTCAGAATATCATCAATAACTACTACTATCCCCATCTATTGTTAATTAGAAACAAAAAATTGTTTTAAGTGAGAAGTAGGCATTGATCTGAAGCTGAAAAGGAATGGAAATTCACATGACCACCACCATACCTACTTCACCCATGCTCTACCAAGGTTTTCCAGCACACAGCTTTGACCTACTACAGTAGCTATGTTAGTCTATTGTACATCAAACAATGTGTAGGCAGGTTGCTTAGGATTCAAACCTTCTCAAACAGCCTAATTCATACTCATAGAGGAGGTGCTCCCACAATAATGTGATTTGTACTGCATTCAAGGTAAAGTATTGGATTCTTCACGCACTACCCACACTAAGACATCATCCCATTCCACTACCTTTTCAAGCTTTCTTTTCCATTATATGAAAGCAAGCTTTGATTTTAAACTTACAAGACCATCAGGCTTGATTGAGTGAGCCGTTTTGTCTTGTAGTAATTTCATTTTAATAGTAGTAATTTAATAGTGGTAATTTAATTTCACCTCTTTGAAGAATGAGCACAGAGGCGCTATTTCTGGCTGCTCTCCTGTTAACCCTGTAGCATAAGGGAGCGTGGTTAATTGTGTACTCCTCAATGATTTGGCAGGCAGCAGAGTGGGCAGGCCTGCTCTGTTGTCTTGGCACACACTATCAACTGCGGACAACGTGGCTGGATCCTCAGCAAGGCGGCAATACTTTGAAAAAGCAACAAACAAACAAACTATAGGGGCGAGGCTTTGGATTGACCAATTACAGCGTTAAGACAACACCCACAGGTTATGAAGTTCAACTCTCATTACCGCCATTAACACACACAGCTGTGCTAAACATTGTGTAGCATTCAACATGATTTATTCATGCGAACATACAGTACAGTGCTATAGGAGCCACATGCTGTAACTGTAGCACTCCAAAAAAAAGAGGACCAACACGCAAACTTCGAAGGGCATTAACATCAACATTCTACTTTACATAACCGCCTCCGCTTGAGTCCACATCAAGCTGAACCCAGCTCGACAATTGGTTGCAGAGTCGCCGCACTCATCCAATCGTAAGTCTCATTCCATGCCACACCCGTGTCTGAAATATTTCAGTGCATGCCACGTTATTGTTTTCACATGAGTGAGTACCCACGACTGGGGCATGCAGTGCCAGGCAGCACTCCCCCCATAACCCTATGGCACTGGTGCCATTTTAGCTGTTTGGATCCTTTTTTCTTTTCCAGGAGGCTCATTTAGGCTTGTGACTGTTTGCGGGCTAGGCTACACGGCAGTAGCCGGAGCATTGTTGGACTGGTCTTTATTTCTCTCTCCCCTCCTTCCCCACTCTCTGTCACCTCAAAATGCACAGCTTGTTTATTTTCATAACCCTGCTGACTTGTTGGTGTTCAAGCATGTTAAACTGGAGGGTATTTCATAAAGCAGGATTATATGACCTTTGTCTGCACCAGTGCCAGCACATTTTTTGGATTATTTTTTAAACAACCCCATAAGTCGGTAAAGAATATAAAATACAGTACAACCCTGGTCTATTTTTCTGGCTGAATGCAACACAAATACAGACATCTAAAAATGAAAGACCATGTCCAGGCAAAGATGATTATGTAAAACAGATGGTTGTAACATACTGTACAGTAGAGAGATTACTGTACATCTGTATTGCTCTTTCACCTTAGGCCTACAGGATGTAAATAGTCTTCAGCCAGCATGAGCCAAGCACTTAAAAAGGGCTGAAGTTACTGTATTTATGACCATTTAGCAATCAGTGTCTCTGAGCACTCACACTCCTTCATCATGCCCATGTCCACGCAGCGTTTGAGCCGGCAGGCCTGGCAGTGGCGGCGGTTGTCCTTAGTGATGGAGCAGCTGCCGTTGAAGGGGCAGGTGAAACTGGCCTTACGCTTCATGCTGCGTCTGGTAGGGGCAGATAGACAGACCTGGCTCACTAGCACATTAAAAGAGGAAGATACATTAAAACCGTGCTGCTAATATTGCTATTTTATAGTAAATGGAAGGCAGATGGGATTATTACTTAACTGGATTACATTCACAGACACAGAAACACACTGAATTAGAACACCACACTACCCCTCTTACAGTAAAAACAAACATTTCATGAGCATTTACAGGAAGCACCTGAGGCGCACGCACACAGTTTAGAAATAGATAAACACACACAGATCAGTAGAGTACTAGAGTCCCTCTTGTTTCCACACATTCACACACACACTGGGGTTTCTACAGGTGTCTGTTGCCCTTTCTCACAAATAGCTAACAAATTAGGAACGGCAGACATGAGAGGACCGCTGACTAAGAGTTTTTTTTAATGAGAACATGATGCCTGAGAAAGACACACAGCCTGGCATTTTCTCCTTCTTTCCTGCAGGCACTTTCTGTAATCCATATATGTCGGTTACATTTTCCCAAGCTGCATCAAGTAGTCTAGACTGGGGTGGTTTCTGCCCTGCCGTATAAATACTTAAATCACTATGAACCCTTTAGATATAACTACAACCATAGAGTTATTTGGATGTTAAGATGTTTTCATGAGGTTCTTGATGGTAAAAAAAAAAAAATAGTGATGGAAAAGAATTGAAGGGAAACAGCTCAGCTTTTTAATTCAGCAGCGATAGCTTGTCTATGGCAAACTCTATTTTCACTTTACTTGTAAGATATACAGGTGATGGAGGCACATACAGTGCATTCGGAAAGTATTCAGACACCTTCCCTTTTTCCACATTTTGTTATGTTACAGCCTTATTGTAAAATGGGTTACATAAATTTTTTTCCTCATCAATCTACACACAATACAGCATTGAAGGTCCCCAAGAACACAGAGGCCTCCATCATTCTTAAATGGAAGAAGTTTGGAACCACCAAGACTCTTCCTAGAGCTGGCCGCCCGGCCAAACTGAGCAATCTTGGGAGAAGGGCCTTGGTCAGGGACGTGACCAAGAACCCAATGGTCACTGACAGAGCTCCAGAGTTGGGAGAACCTTCCAGAAGGACAACCATCTCTGCAGCACTCCACCAATCAGGCCTTTATGGTAGTGGCCAGACGGAAGCCACTCCTCAGTAAAAAGTCACATGACAGCCCGCTTGGAGTTTACCAAAAGGCATCTAAAAGGACTCTCAGACCATGAGAAACAATATTCTCTGGTCTGATGAAACCAAGATTTAACTCTTTGGCCTGAATGCCAAGCGTCACGTCTGGAGGAAACCTGGCACCATCCCTACGGTGAAGCATGGTGGTGCTGGCATCATGCTGTAGGGATGTTTTTCAGCGGCAGGGACTGGGAGAGTAGTCAGGATCATGGGAAAGATCAACGAAGCAAAGTCCAGAGAGATCCTTGATGAAAACCTGCTCTAGAGCGCTCAGGTTCACCTTCCAACAGGACAATGACCCTAAGCACACAGCTAAGACAACGCAGGAGTGCCTTCGGGTCAAGTCTCTGAATGTCCTCGAGTGGCCCAGCCAGAGCCCGGAATTTAACCCGATTGAACATCTCTGGAGAGACCTGAAAATAGCTGTGCAGCAACGCTCCCCATCCAAACTGACAGAGCTTGAGATGATCTGCAGAGAAGAATGGGAAAAACTCCCCAAATACAAGTGTGCCAAGCTTGTAGTGTCATACCAAAGAAGACTTGAGACTGGAATCGCTGCCAAAGGTGCTTCAACAAAGTACGGAGTAAAGGGTCTGAATACTTACGGAAATGTCATATTTAAGTATTTTATTTTTTATACAGTGAGGGAAAAAAGTGTTTGATCCCCTGCTGATTTTGTACGTTTGCCCACTGACAAAGACATGATCAGTCTATAATTTTAATGGTAGGTTTATTTGAACAGTGAGAGACAGAATAACAACAAAATCCAGAAAGACGCATGTCAAAAATGTTATAAATTGATTTGCATTTTAATGAGGGAAATAAGTATTTGACCCCTTTGCAAAACATGACTTAGTACTTGGTGGCAAAACCCTTGTTGGCAATCACAGAGGTCAGACGTTTCTTGTAGTTGGCCACCAGGTTTGCACACATCTCAGGAGGGATTTTGTCCCACTCCTCTTTGCAAATCTTCTCCAGTGTCATTAAGGTTTCGAGGCTGACGTTTGGCAACTCGAACCTTCAGATCCCTCCACAGATTTTCTATAGGATTAAGGTCTGGAGACTGGCTAGGCCACTCCAGGACCTTAATATGCTTCTTCTTGAGCCACTCCTTTGTTGCCTTGGATGTGTGTTTTGGGTCATTGTCATGCTGGAATACCCATCCACGACCCATTTTCAATGCCCTGGCTGAGGGAAGGAGGTTCTCACCCAAGATTTGACGGTACATGGCCCCGTCCATCGTCCCTTTGATGCGGTAAAGTTGTCCTGTCCCCTTAGCAGAAAAACACCCCCAAAGCATAATGTTTCCACCTCCATGTTTGACGGTGGGGATGGTGTTCTTGGGGTCATAGGCAGCATTCCTCCTCATCCAAACACGGCGAGTTGAGTTGATGCCAAAGAGCTTGATTTTGGTCTCATCTGACCACAACACTTTCACCCAGTTCTCCTCTGAATCATTCAGATGTTAATTGGCAAACTTCAGACGGGCCTGTATATGTGCTTTCTTGAGCAGGGGGACCTTGTGGGCGCTGCAGGATTTCAGTCCTTCACGGCGTAGTGTGTTACCAATTGTTTTCTTGGTGACTATGGTCCCAGCTGCCTTGAGATCATTGACAAGATCCTCCCGTGTAGTTCTGGGCTGATACCTCACCGTTCTCATGATCATTGCAACTCCATGAGGTGAGATCTTGCATGGAGCCCCAGGCCGAGGGAGATTGACAGTTATTTTGTGTTTCTTCCATTTGCGAATAATCGCACCAACTGTTGTCACCTTCTCACCAAGCTGCTTGGCGATGGTCTTGTAGCCCATTCCAGCCTTTTGTAGGTCTACAATCTTGTCCCTGACATCCTTGGAGAGCTCTTTGGTCTTGGCCATGGTGGAGAGTTTGGAATCTGATTGATTGATTGCTTCTGTGGACAGGTGTCTTTTATACAGGTAACAAGCTGAGATTAGGAGCACTCCCTTTAAGAGTGTGCTCCTAATCTCAGCACGTTACCTGTATAAAAGACACCTGGGAGCCAGAAATCTTTCTGATTGAGAGGGGGTCAAATACTTATTTCCCTCATTAAAATGCAAATCAATTTATAACATTTTTGAGATACGTCATTCTGTCTCTCACTGTTCAAATAAACCTACCATTAAAATTATAGACTATTATCATTTCTTTGTCAGTGGGAAAACATACAAAATCAGCAGGGGATCAAATACTTTTTTCCCTCACTGTATATATATATATATATATATATATATATATATATATATATATATATATATATATATATATATATATATATATATATATAATTTTTTTTTTATCTCAAAACCTGTTTTTGCTTTGTCATTATGGGATATTGTATGGAGATTGATGAGGGAAAAAAGTGGTCTGAATACTTTCCGAATGCAAGAACCCATTGATTCTTGAAGAATATAACTTATAAATGCCTCATGAGCTTGGTTCAAATAGCTTTTTTTTTTTTTTGGGGGGGGGGGGTTTGTAAACGATGCAATTGTAAACCAACACTGTATGGCCTCAAAACATGGTTAAAACTATAATGTTGATATCATGGATGGTCAGACCTTGCATCGATAGCTCGGTCTATGGAAATTTGAGAGTGGTTACATTGCTCCAGCCCCATCACTCAGCTAATGATCAAAACAGAGGCGGTGTGATGGCTTTGTCATTGTTTGAACTGCAGATTGCCCTTTTAATAAGCCCTGGAGCCCGACAGGCTTCTTCACTACATCATGTTCATTAGGCCAAAGCAATGGAAAATTAGCGTTTCTTATTAGACAATTCCAGGTAGTCCCTCCCGTGTTCTTCTGTTTGGTGCCTAATGAACACAACCCTGGACAACCCTTCCTGTTCCACCATTCGTCGTATGCCCTGTCCTGGTCAGTACCCACCTGAAGAAGCCCTTGCAGCCCTCGCAGGTCATGGCGTTGAAGTGGAAGCCGGTGGCCTTGTCCCCGCAGACGCCGCAGATGCGCGGCATGTTGCGGTCGAACTCATCCGGCCCCACCACTGAGGTGCTCACAGCCATGGGCTCCATCACTGCAACGAGAGAGGAGAGAGAGTGGTTGGTAAACAGTGGTCTGGCGCAGTCTTTGTCCTTCCCATGTGTGAACGAGGGTGTATCAGACAGGTTTCATTTGTTGCATCTCATTTTATAGGGGCAGGTGTTGGGGAAATTAGCATAAGCCATAAGACAAGAAGAACACCCCCATGATTCTGCCTGTTATTGGCTCTGTAATGAGTCAACACGAACACACCATCTGTCCCTGTCAATGAAAAAAACAACAGTCAAGTAATGCACACCAGAGGTAACACGCCTAATGCCTTTTCAATCTAACTCTGCCTCTCATTTCCTTTGACAGCCAAAGATCCTCTGCCATTGTCTGGACAGACCAGAGCAGAATAAATTATATCCTAGTAGCAGGTACTGAAATTAAGTTCTGAAAGGCAGTTTGCCCAAAAATGAGAATTAGCTATTTACTTGCAGAAATGCCATATAAAGCATTGCCTGCCTTTCACCTACACAGAACCAGAAAGATCAGTTCTGGAATTCTTTGTACCATATTTTGATTGTCAGTTAGATGCAGCAGGGAACAGGTCATGTCAGGTCAACCAGGGACAAGGAACGTGGGATGAATCTATTCACCCTGATTGGTACTGACTCTTATTCCCGTCAGAGCAACAGAAATGCCAGACCCCAATAACCCCCAAATACAGAGAAAACATGAAATAACACATATGGAATCATGTAGTAACCAAAAAAACTTTTAAACAAATCGAAATATATTTTATATTTGAGATTCTTCAAATAGCCACCCTATGCCTTGATGACAGCTTTGCACACTCTTGGCAATAGCAAAAATAAAGAATAACCCTTGAATGAGTAGGTGTTCTAAAACTTTTCACCGGCAGTGTGTGTGTGTGTGTGTGCATGCATATATATGGGGATTCAATAATACCGACGCGGGGTGTTGATTAATAGACATGGGCTACACACTACAGCCTAATCAAAATCAGTCCTACCACAGGCCATTACATTATTCATCATTGTACTAGAGAAACCAACAAGGTTTAGCCAAGATTTGAATAGTTGAACAGCTGTTATCCATTTCTGCTGACAAAGGCACTGGTTGGTTGGAGCATTTAGTGTGTTTGTCCATGGCTCACCACAGGGCAAGAGCAGAAAAACAGAAAACAAGTTGTTTTTCATTAATAGTGATGATTGCACGCTTAGCGAGAAGCTGAAAACATAATGTAAACAGGCAAGGCGAGTCCCTCCAATCATCAGGTTGTTGCTCTGACTGGCAAAGAGTTGCATAGAGACAGATGTGCCTTATAAAAAGCCCAGGCTGCGCCAACGCTAGACTAGTCCCGCATTGCCAGTCTCACGTAATTGTTGCAACCACTGAAACACGGGCTCCTGATCACCATCACACCCCAATCGCAGAGACCTAAATGGAAACTAGGACTAACATTCCTCTGTTGTATTTTTGTTTGTTTGACTTGTAGCTTGGTCTAATTGCAATTTTGACAAGGATAGTGGCAGTTGTCCCATAAAACAAATCTATCTTTAAACTCTCCACAACATGGGGATAATCACTTTCTTTCTAAACATGATCCACCAGCCAACAATGTTGTGTAATGAATAGAGCATTGAACACAAATCTTAGTCAGGTCAATACCATTTAGGCCTTGAGCAGATGCTAACAAGACCCAGTAAATAGCCAGCTGTATCTACACATGTGAAATAACAATGCATGCTATGCAAGTTTCACTGGATGGGAGCTCCTATGTAAACAAATGGAACAAGTGCACTAAAGCTACAATATTAAGCTACAGTAGTTTCATATGATCTACCCAGGTCAGGAGACTGTGCGAAACAAGGATCCGCCACCCTTGCCTTGACTGCATCCATGACCTCTTGTCTCGTGTCAGACATACCCCCTATACTAAAGTGCTGTGACCGTCTTGTCTTTGTGAGTTCTTGCCATCACAAATCTGATGTTCCACCACAGACACATGACAGTAAAAGACCGCCTGCCTGGAGCCTCACTCAGAGGACAATGAAAAGAAAGGCTGGTTGCATGTTGCTGTGCAATAGACCTTGCTACTCAGAGTCTCAGGCATAACTATTAGGCTAATCAAATCAAATCAAATTTTATTGGTCACATGCGCCGAATACAACAGGTGCAGACATTACAGTGAAATGCTTACTTAATAATCAGAATGATTCGTTTTGTCACCAGTCACTACACTGAAAGTACAGGTTCTTCCCATTGTCTGTCCCTCCAGACCTGAGAAACATCAATCAACCAACAGTAGCCTCCACAGTACAGTACAGCTACCGGACATCAAACGAAAGGGAAGAAAGTGCTTACATTATCTAACCGGACACTCACACAGAGCAAACAACCCAGAAACCATTAAGATGGGGGAGCCGTAGGAGAGGGGGCAATGTGAGCCGCATTAAGTCACTGACGATGTGCCTGTGAGCCATCGCTACGTCGGGACATTTCCCTCCATTTCTTTCCACACTAAAGGTCTGATTGTTTGGTCCAAACATTTGCTTGCTAGATTGAAATCGCTAACCCCTTCTAACCTTATGCTTTGTATCATGTAAAGAACACAAACGCCAGAGTCTGGTAATCATATAATTTATTTAGAAAATGTTTAGCCTTCGTATTCGATTTACAGGAGCAGTTAGGGTTAAGTGCCTTGTTCAAGGGCACAGACATTGTGTTCATCTAGTCAGCTCGGGGATACAAACCAGCAACTTTTCGGCTACTGGCCCAACCCTCTGCTGCCCTGGATGAGAGCGAACAATTCCACGACTTTACACAGGTTACACGCCTTAATGTAATTGGTTTATCCCGTGTTGACATTGTTGATCTAAAACATTAGCCACATTTGTATGCAAATTATGTCTTTGTTTGCATTAAATGGCCAACGTAGCCATTTTTATATCAATATCAAATAATTTATTGGTAACAATTAAGTAAGAATTTGGCTATGACTGTCTGGGAGTGGTCTGAATGGGTAGGGGAAAACTTAAAACTAGCTGTTATTGGCAGAGAGGTTTGGAAGTCTTTGTTATTGGTCTATAAACCAATTTACCACCTGGTGATGTCACAAGGCAAGCAGAAACTCCCACCCATGCAAACAGGCTTATTAGGTCCTGTGTAGATTGTATTTTCAACACTGTTTTAGTTTCATCAGCTGTACAATATGATACAAAACACTGGAAAAACAGAATTGACTGCACCTTAAACGTGTTTCAATTGCCCAATCACTTCGCCATTCAAGTGTGTCATCACTGTCAATGAGAATGTGCCTGTTAAAACAGTGTGAATGGTTTCTGCCAGGTTGGGGCAAGTCCTTATAGGATCCTCGGTCTCCCCATTCAGGGAGAGCTGCTTGTCAGGTAACATGCTGTTACTATAGCTCTGCCATTGAGGCGTTTTGCCTTATTCCTTGTGTCAAGGTGATCTTGCTATAGGCCAAGTAAGTTTATTGTTTTTCCGAGTTATATACACTGCTCAAAAAAATAAAGGGAACACTTAAACAACACAATGTAACTCCAAGTCAATCACACTTCTGTGAAATCAAACTGTCCACTTAGGAAGCAACACTGATTGACAATAAATTTCACATGCTGTTGTGCAAATGGAATAGACAACAGGTGGAAATTATAGGCAATTAGCAAGACACCCCCAATAAAGAAGTGGTTCTGCAGGTGGTGACCACAGAACACTTCTCAGTTCCTATGCTTCCTGGCTGATGTTTTGGTCACTTTTTTACATTTAAATGTTTTAGTCATTTAGCAGACGCTCTTATCCAGAGCGACTTACAGGAGCAATTAGGGTTAAGTGCCTTGCTCAAGGGCACATCGACAGATTTTTCACCTAGTCGGCTCGGGGATTAGAACCAGCGACCTTTCGGTTACTGGCACAACGCTCTTAACCACTAACCTACCTGCCGCCCCCTTTTGAATGCTGGTGGTGCTTTCACTCTAGTGGTAGCATGAGACGGAGTCTACAACCCACACAAGTGGCTCAGATAGTGCAGCTCATCCAGGATGGCACATCAATGCGAGCTGTGGCAAGAAGGTTTGTGTGTCTGTCAGCGTAGTGTCCAGAGCATGGAGGCGCTACCAGGAGACAGGCCAGTACATCAGGAGACGTGGAGGAGGCCGTAGGAGGGCAACAACCCAGCAGCAGGACCGCTACCTCCGCCTTTGTGCAAGGAGGAGCAGGAGGAGCACTGCCAGAGCCCTGCAAAATGACCTCCAGCAGGCCACAAATGTGCATGTGTCTGCTCAAACGGTCAGAAACAGACTCCATGAGGGTGGTATGAGGGCCCGACGTCCACAGGTGGGGGTTGTGCTTACAGCCCAACACCGTGCAGGACGTTTGGCATTTGCCAGAGAACACCAAGATTGGCAAATTCGCCACTGGCGCCCTGTGCTCTTCACAGATGAAAGCAGGTTCACACTGAGCACATGTGACAGACGTGACAGAGTCTGGAGATGCCGTGGTGAACGTTCTGCTGCCTGCAACATCCTCCAGCATGACCGGTTTGGCGGTGGGTCAGTCATGGTGTGGGGTGGCATTTCTTTGGGGGGCCGCACAGCCCTCCATGTGCTCGCCAGAGGTAGCCTGACTGCCATTAGGTACCGAGACCATATGCTGGTGCGGTTGGCCCTGGGTTCCTCCTAATGCAAGACAATGCTAGACCTCATGTGGCTGGAGTGTGTCAGCAGTTCCTGCAAGAGGAAGGCATTGATGCTATGGACTGGCCCGCCCGTTCCCCAGACCTGAATCCAATTGAGCTCATCTGGGACATCATGTCTCGCTCCATCCACCAACGCCACGTTGCACCACAGACTGTCCAGGAGTTGGCGGATGCTTTAGTCCAGGTCTGGGAGGAGATCCCTCAGGAGACCATCCGCCACCTCATCAGGAGCATGCCATACAGGCACGTGGAGGCCACACACACTACTGAGCCTCATTTTGACTTGTTTTAAGGACATTACATCAAAG